AGTTTGCAAGGAACCTCAGAGGAAACAAAGCTGAGGAGTTGCCCTTCTGGGATAGGGACAAAGGTGGAGACTGTGGGTGGATAGGTCATCAGGCTGGCAGAGGGCTGCAGGACTTTTAGGCAAAAGGGGTGGAGACTACCTGAGGGGACCATGTTGGGGAGGGGGATTGGAGGACCTGTGGTGCACATGAAAGGGAGGCAGATGGTGTATTGTTTTGGGACCAGAAGACTTGAAGAGGAGTTAGTGTGGGTGAGAGGTGCTGTTGTTTTAGGGGTCAGTGCCATGTTGGGCAGGTATCCTACTGAGCCTGACAGAGTCTCGCACAAGTAGAACCCATCACAAAGCATTTCACTTGTTGTGATGCTGTCATGCAAGGTGTTTCCCCCGATTCTCCTCTTATCAGTGTTATTTGTATACAAGCATGCTATTAATTTTTGAGTTTTGACTTTGTACCCAGATACACTTTTGAATTTGTTTGTTAAATCTAGAAGTCTTTTGGTGGAGCTTAGGAGTCTTCTATGTAGAGAATCATGTCATCCATGAATAGTGACGTTTAACTTCCTTTCTTACCTTATTCCTGTTGTTTCTTTTACTTGTCTAGTTGATCTGACTAATGTTTACAGAACTATATTGAATAGGTGTTGTGATAATGGGCATCCTTGTCTTTTCCTGAAGTGAAAGCTTGCAGTGTTTGAACATCTCATATGATGTGGACTATTGGTTTGTCATAGAAGGCTTCCAATAGATTTGGATTTACTTTTTTTTATATATACTTGGAATTGAACTCATGACCTCATGCTTGCCAGGCAGGTGCTGTGCTGCTGAGCTATATCTCAACCAATGGACTTTGTATTTTAGTTTTCTTTAAGGTTTTTGTCACAGATGGGTGTTAGGCTTTGTCAAATGGGTTTTTTGCATCTATCAAGATGGTGATGTGGTTGTTGCCTCTGGTTCTGTTAATGTGACTTGCATATTGCATCATCCCTGTATCCTGGGATGAATTCTACTTGCATGCAATGTATAATCTGGTTGATGAATTGATGCATTCTGTTTGCCAGTATCTTACTGAGGGTTTTTGTATCTATGTTCATTAAGCAGATTTGCCTGTAGTTGTCAGATTTGTTTGGATCCTTTTCTGGTTTAGGTATCAGGGTAACTTTTGCTTCTGGAAAGGCTTCACTTTCAGTTTCATTAAAAAGCTTGTGGAGTAGTAGCATTAGATCTGCTCTAAATTTCTTATAGTAGTCAGCAATGAATCCATCAAGACCTGGATTTTTTTTGTTGGTAGTTTTTGTTACTATTATTATTAATAGTATTGAATTTCATGGGATGAAATTGGGCTATTTAGAATTTGTATATTTTCTTGATTCAGCTGGGATAATTAATGTGTATCTAGGAATCTATCCATGTCTTTTCCAGACATTTTGTATCTCATTAACGATTCTCAATGTAGGCATTGATGATCTTTTGAAGTTTTGCAGGATCTGTTGTGATTTTTCCCTTTTCATTCCTAATTGTATGAATTTGACTCTTCTGTTTCCTTTTTTTTTTTATTAACTTAGCTAAACATTTGTCTATTATATTTGATTTTTCAAGAACCGACTCTTCAAGGCATTGATTCTTTCTGTCATTTTCTTAATCTCAATTGTATTGCTTTCTGCTCTGATCTTTAGGGATCATTTAAATTCTCTTGCATTTTTTTAAGCATATTCTGGGAGGTAGGAGGTGGTCTATTTTAGAGAAAGTCCCATGTGTTGAGAGGAATGTGTGTTCTATGATTGAGTGAACACTGAGTAGGTATCTACTAAGCCCATTTGTTCAAAGATGTGGTTCCTCCCTTGTATTTCTTTCATGAGTTTTCTGTTCTTACTCACTCACTGTGGGATTCTGACATGGGGAGCCCTGAGATGAAGTCACCCCGTAACTACTCCTCATCACAAGTTAAGGTGGCCCCTCCCTAAGTGGCATCTGGCCTAGCAATCTCTCAGGACATGGTGGGCTGTTGGCCTGAGCTCACTCCAAGGCCAGCTGCTTTAGCATGCATCCCTCTTCCCTGATGTGTATCTCCTTGGCGGGCTCTGGAGTCATCCACCCTCAACCCTCACCACCTTGGTGGATTTGATCCTGCTCTCATGTTGTGAAGCAGAGGCTGGGTAGAAAATGCACTTAGCTACCTACTTTTTCTGTATTGTAATCTGTTACTTCACTTGCACTGTGGATCCAGTTTTCCCTCAAGATACTTCCTGGGTCCTGGGTGTTCACCTCATCCTTTATTTATTTATTTATTTATTTATTTATTGTGGTGCCAGTTATTAAACTCACAACCTGGTGCTTGCCAGGTGTTGTGGTCAGGGGTTGTGAGGCGAACAATTAGAATCAGGACATGGAATTTATAATATTTTATTATGGTCACCTAGAGTTAACAAGGAAGTGCAGGAAATCTATCCACAGCACTAAAGACCCAGAATATTTAACCAAGGGCCTGAATCCCACAGCAGTGTTCTACATGAGTGCAGATGATAACCTAGAGCCCATGACAAAGGCTCTCACAAGTCCATCTGGAGGTCTAGAGCCCATGCAAAGGACTCATGTCAGTCTGTTTTATGGATCCACGCTGGGAAGGCCCAAAGGTGAGCAGTGGAAGCTAGAAAGTTCATGCCAGCAGAGTGAAGGAGCTGTGCTGGTGAGATGAGGGTTCTCTGCTAGAGCCGAGAAGTCATGCTCAAAATAAAGACCAGGGCTATCCTAGGAAGCACCACAGCCATTCTCAGTGACACTGAGGTTCTGAACTCCTCCAACAATAAGCACATTTGAGTGCATGCCAGGAAGCCAGTCTGAGTTTGTCCTGGAGATTAAATGGCACACATTTTCCCCTCTGGAGCCAGGAAGCGGTGCTTGATGTAAGGACCACAGCTCCCCAAAGTGCACCACAGTCACTCTCACCAGCAACGTCCCGAGCTCCTGGGCTAAATCCCCAGCTCTTGCCTTATCTTTTGTTCCCCAAGTTGTTACTTTCCAGTGTCTGGATTTGAAGTCGTAGAGAGGTTGATTTGATGCTGCTGTGCATCACTCTGCCATCTGCCCAACAGTCCCACAGAAATACATATTTGATGACACAAAGATTAACCAGATTGAGCTGTACAGTGAAAAGCCAATTCATAGTCACATCTGTGCCTCCTGGGCAATAGAAAAAAATCAGCAACAATAACAGAGTTAAACAATCAGAAGGCTGAGGCAGGATGATCACCGAGTTTCAGCACAACTGGGTTTCATAGTGAGTTGAAGTCCAGGCTGACTTGCATAGTAAGTGATTGTCTCAAAACACACATGTGCACACACATTAGTCACTAACAGTCTGGATATGGAAGTGTCATAAAATTCAATTGGCACTACCATTGTACATCTTTAAGTATGTGGGAAAAAATATATAATTTTAATACAGGCAGGAAGATGATCCAAATAGTGATATATAATAAATATGTATTGAAGACAACATCATGCCACCATTAGCAATAGAAAAGAATTCAGCCTTAACAGCATAGTTAACTAAATATCTAAAGAGTAGTAAATATTAATAATAGTACAGGTAGAAGCAGTGGGGAGCAGCAAAGTGAAAAAAGTGAAATTTGAAAAATAGTGGAAATAGGGGCTGGAGATTTAGCTCAGCGGCATAAGCGCCTGCCTTGCAAGCAGGCAGTTGTGAGTTCGATCCCTGGTACCGATAAAAATGAAAAAGACAAAAAAAAAAAAAAAAGAAAAGAAAAGAAAAATAGTGGAAAGGAACATGAGGGAGAAAGGCAAGTGAGAAAAAGGTAAAGGACCCTAATAAGTCAAAGAAAAATAATAAAGTTAGATAAAAGTAACAGAAAGCAGTGAACAGAGAAATAGTTTGAAAAACCTCAATAAAAAAACTAAAAAGAACAAACCTAAAACTTTCAAAAAAGGAATAATGTTCCCTGTCAGGGACTTCCTGACAGGAAGAACGCTTGTGATGCAGAAGTGAACATGCACGGCATGTGTCTGATGACTGCTTGGTTTTCACTGCCTGCAGCAGTGGGTGTGAGCATTTCTGTGAGTGAACGCCGAGCCCCCCTTCCCTTTCCTCATTGGTCCCTGGCATCCACCTTGAGCCTGTGTGCACTGCAGCCTTTTCCAGTTTCTGTACTGACTCCCTGAGTCACTGCTTGCCTTCCCTAGCCCTAAGCTTCCGGGGCTTGTGATGTGCTCCCCACCCAACTCCACAGGCCTTTCTGTGAGTGCCCTGGTCTGTGACAGTCATCCAAGCTGAGATGACTTCTTGGTCACATAGGGACAGGAAGAAAGCAAACAGCACTGTTCTGCTGGATTTGGGCAGCAGAGTGCAGGTTCAAGGAAACCCCCAGGCTTCATGCCAACACTTAGACCAAATGCCCTCCAGAAGCCACAGTGGACTGACTTGGCTTCTCAGCAGATAGGACAGGGTGTCTGTGTCATTCTGGGCCTGAGCCCAGACCTAGGGAGCAAGGATGTGTCCATTGCTCACGGCTGTCTCCCACCCAGTCACCGTGAAGTAATAGGTGTTGGATACCTCAGTCTTACACAGGGAACCTCCCTAAAATAGCTGCAGGGAAAACCCTTCAGTTGGGCATCCACCGCACTGGTTACTTCTCCAGCTCCAGTCCGCCATGTGAGAGGAGTCACTTACACAGTTCAGCCCACATCACTTTTGCTGATTCCAGTAGCTGTGGGCTTTGCTCACTGGGGCTTCGACCCTCTCTGGGCTTACATGTGTCAGCAGAGACAGGTCTCGTAGTCCCTCATTTTTTGGTGCTGCTGGTGGTATTTTTACAAGTGAGATTACTTGTGAGTCAGGCAACTTAACAAAAGTGTGATAAACAGGAGTGAATTCTGAGATCATAAAGCTTCACAAGAATGGGTGAGAGTTACATGCCGATGCCCAATGACCAGCCGTAAGGGATTTTCCCCTCAAGGTCCTCAGACCTTTTCTTTTTCCCCCACAGGATCTTGCCTTGTGGCACAGGCTGACCTGGAGCCTGTGATCCTCCTGCCTCTGCCCCCGAAATGCTGGGACTGCATGCAATGTGTGCACTGCTGTGCCTCAGTTGAATTGGAGACTTGATCAACAGCTGGAAACAGAGGCCAAGAGGCAGGTAGGAGCTGTTTCAGCATGCATTGGATTTTATCTGGAGAAAAAATGGGATCTGGCAATTGTAGATGAAAACTCTTGTGATGATAAGTGAACATGCACAGCTGTTGAAGTCTGTCAGGTGGCCTTAGGTTCCAGGGAATGACCTGGTTGCACACAGGATCCTGGCCTCAGTTGCTCACTGCAGAGTCTGCTGTGTGTGTGGGGTGAGGCTGGCCAGAGCCCTTTCTCGGGCATTTTTCTTAATTACTAAAGCGTAAAAGTGCTTTGAATTGAATTGTACTGCTGAAACTATTGAGTGGCTTTCAAAGGAGAGAGGAACAGGAAGTCAAGGGAGGAGCACTGAGCTCCCCAACATGTCACAGGGAGCCATTGTCACCTCATGTCTAGAGACACAGAATGAATGAAGCTCAGGAGAGTAGGAAACTGGGGCCTGTGGCCACCCCTCTGGCATTGGGAGGGGTGGGAACACAGCCTTCGGGTTCTTGTCAGGGGCTGGGGCCTCAACCAAGCCCTTTCCCTTTCCTGGCTGATGCTGGGCCGGGCCAGGGCCCTTGTGAGATTGGAAGAATGTGTACTAAGCTTTTGCAGGCTCTTGGATTTAAGTCTCACCTAAGTAATCATTGAGTAAAACGTGGCCTCAGAGCTGGATGCGCCTTCCAGTAAACTACAGAGTCCATGGGCTTCTCTGCAGATGCTGCCCCAGCCCCGCCTGTGCAGGCTCCTAGCTGCAAGCCTGGGGCTTGGAGGTCAGACATGGTGGAGAGGCTCAGGTCAGCACCCTTCCTGTCTGGAGCCTTGGCAGGCATCAGTGGCAGTTCCTGCTATGGCAGATGGTGTTTGCGTTCACTGAGCTCATTAGCTTCTGTATGCAGCCTGTGTTTTTCCTTCCCCTTCCCCCTCTTCAGTCCTTGCCCTCTTGGACCACTTTTCTATTGTGAGAGATCCATCCCTTTGTCCCTTTCTATCTATCCTTTATTATTCTCTTTCTACTTTGCCTCACTCTAATGTGAAATACCATGTGGTATTTACCTTGTTGCTCTGGTTTATTTCACTCAACTTTGTATTTTCCAGGTACATTTATTTTCATGCAAATATCCCATGTTTGTATTCTTTATAGCTAAGTAGTACTGCAGTACATATAGATACCATATTTTCTTTATCAAATTGTCTGTTGGGGGTATATAGGCTGCCTTCAGGATTTAGCTATTACTGGTTATGCTGCTATAAAGATTGGTATGCATGAGTAACTGTAGTATCAAGATCTTTGGGGGATGTTTTACGTCTCTCTCACTGGACATGAGATACCGGAAACCCCGAGTTAAAGGAATGAATGTTTTATATAGTTCAGTTTGTAGAGGTTTCAGTCTGTAATCAGATAGATGCAAAGCAGGTTGGCATGGCACAGAGGCAACATTTCAAGGTGGTAGAACACAAAGCAACAAGAGCACAGAGCATGGGGTACAAGCCTCTTTTCCTCCCTTATGTTGTGAGCAGGCTACCGGCCCTTCGGTGGGTGCAGCTCTCACAGCATCTCCCTGCCTTCCCCTTGTTCAGGATGAGGGTGTTTACAAAGTGGGCACCTGGCCCCCTGCTGAGTCATTTGATTGACCCTCTGAACTTCTCATGTTGACACAATGAACAGCATCCCAGAGCTGTTGGGCTTGTCCTGTTGGGTTATTTAGTTAAGCTTCTCAATTCTCAAGTTGATACAGTGTATCAACTGTGACAAGGAAGATACTTCAAGGGGAAGACTGGGTCATACAGTATTTCTAATGCTAGTTCTTTGAGAAATCCCCATAGTTATGCCATAATGCTGGTACTAATTTACATTCCCACCAACAAAGAAGGATTCTTTTTTTGTGACAGCCTCATCCAGAATTTGATACTGTTCTCATTTCTTAATGTTTGCCATTCTTTACAGAGAAACATGTAAATTTTGTTTCTTTTCCCTTTTTTTAATAAAGAATTTATTGAAAGAAAAAAAAGCTTCTCAGTAAGAGAAAAATAAGGAGGTCTAGCCTCAACACGGAATCGTATCAGGGTTATACATTACATTTCTGTAATGGTCAGAGATTTTGAACATTTTTTTCATAGACTTGTTGATCATTGGTATGTCTTTCTCTGTGAAGTATCTGTTCATTTCTCTTGCTTATTTTTGACAGTCTTTAATTTCAGGTGTCTTAATTTTTGAGTCTTTGCGTATTATTAGATATTTGTCCTCTGTCTGAGGACTACCTGGCAAAAATTACTATTCTGTGGCTAAGGTTCTCATTAGAAAATGTTTTTTGCGGCTGGGGATGTAGCTCAGTGGCACAGCACCTGCCTGTCAGGCATGAGATATCATGAGTTCAATCCCTGGTACAAAAAAAGAAAGAAAAAGAATAGAAAATAAAATATTATGCTATACTGGTATCTTCAAGTGTTTTGTCTGTTTTATCTTCAGAACATCTAATGTTTCTGTTTTAATGTTGATCAACTTTGATTTTACTTTATGTCCAGTTTCCATCCTTGCAAACACATAACCAGTTTTACCAGCACCAGTTGTTCAATGGGCTGTCTTTTCTGCAGCCGATGCTTCCGGCTCCTTTGTCTAAGATCACGTAACTGCATGGACATGATAGTGCATATCTCTAGTGAGAACACGCAGGAGACTGAAGCAGGAAGATTGCTTGAGTTCAAGGCCAGCCTGTACTACATAGGAAGTTAAAGACCAGTCTGAACTGCTTGGAGAGACACTCTCTCCACCAAATGAAAAACAAAACAAAGCAAAATGAATGAATGTGTCTGGGAAAGATTCTATATCCTGTATTCTGATCCATTGATGCATACATCTGTTTTTCTTCCAGTAATGTGCTATTTTTATCACTATTGTTTTGTGGTATAACTGAGATTAGGAATTAACTGTGCCTTCTCTTGTTTTGCTTTTGTTGCCTAAAATTTCATTTGCTATTCTGTGTCTCTTCTGTCTTTATATACATTTTAGGATCGTTTGCTCAAGTTCTGTAAAGTACGCTGTAGAAAATTCAGGATGTTGGCACATGTTTGTAATCCCAGCACTTGGGAGGCTGAGGCCGGACTATTATTGCTAGTTCAAGACCATTCTGAGCTATGAAGTGAGCTCAAGGCCAGCCTGAAATGCATAGTGAGAACTGTTATAACTCGGGCCCCGGTATAAAATCCAAGGAAACAAGAGTCCAAAAATTTAAGTAGCAAAGGCTTTATTGAGCCAGTCCGGGCGGCACAGTCTCTCTTGGATCGACCCAAAGACTGCGCGCCCAAGACTGGGGAAAGGGGTTTTTAAAAGTAAGGGAAAGTGGGGGGAAACCTGCGAGGCCATTAAACCTGTTGACCTGCATCTGGAAACTGTATTGCTGTCCACTTAGCTCTGACAATCTCGGGAGTTCCTGGTATTCCTTAAATTACTCCCATCCTGCAGACTGACATTATCTCAGAGTGGCACGTCTGCAGCAATATTTGGAGAAGAAAGTGGAGAGTTAATTATCTCAGGACAGCTTGTCTTCGCTAGTGAGTGCGAAGGGGTCACAAGTTATGAGACGCTGGAACTTAAGTTTTACAAAGATCTGATATCTTAACTCATTTGATACATACAGAACAAAAGGAAAGCACCGATCGGGGTTTGGGCCATAGTGTTACCCGGTAATTTCTTTTAAGCTAAGCAGTTCTTAAAATTGGGGCAGGCTCATTTTATGACAGATCATCACCGGGTTGGGGAGAGGTCACAAGAAACCCAAATTCTTTATGGCCCAGATAGGGTGGGGGGGGGCAATAAGGCGCGCTACAGAACAGGAAAACGGCAAGTATCTATCTTGTGGGAAAAGTAACTAAGGTTAGGTAAAAAGGTTAAACTCATACACAAATCTCCCTGCATATAAACAAGTTATTTCAAACAATGTGTAAATCAGTGGGCCTTCTAGTCTTCTTTAGCTCTTTAGCGAAGAATAGAGGCGCCTAACCATGATTAACAACCCTTGTTAGCTTGTTTTAGCACCACTCTTCTTGTTTGTAGAGGGCCGCTCTGGTTAACATCTCAATTAAGTGAAATTCTTGCAGTTCTTTACAGAGGAGAGTATTGCTCAACATTTCAATTGGGTCACTGAACATATCAGTTGGGGAAAAAGGATAGAAAAAAAAACATTTAGTAAGCCACGGTACAGGTTTGCTATAATACACAAAATGATGAAGCTACTTTCTTAGAGTACAACAAGAACCTGTCTCAAACAATAAATAATGTATGCTGTTGGTGTTTTAGTTGGGACTGCATTGAATCTGTATAACTGTTTTGTGAGGAAAATGGCCAGGTCTTTTGTTGTTTTGGGGTTTTTTTTTGTTTTGTTTTTTGTTTTTTTTTGGTACTGGGAATTGAACTCACAACCTTGCAGTTACCAGGCAAGTGCTTGAGCTGCTGAGCTAAATCCTTGGCCCTTGGCCAGTTTTGATAATGCTGCATCTTTCTATTCAAGAAAAAAGGATGTCTTTCCATTTCCTGATGTCTTCTTCAATCTCTTTTCAGAGTGCTGTAGTTTTTAGAGGTCTTTTTATTTTCCTTGGTCCAACACTCCATAGAGTGTTGTTTTCATAATTTCCTTTTTACTCAGTTTGTTACTGGTGTTTACAAATGGTAAAGATTTTTGTGTGTCACTCTTGTATCTTGCTGTGTTGCTGAAGTTGGTTCTGCGGGAGATTTTGGGTGCTGTTACGGTTGATACATTGTGTCAATGTAAGCTTAAAAGTTTTCTTAACAGGCAGTCAAGACCCTTTGTAAATACCTTGTTCTGTGTAACAGGAGGAAGCACAGATTTTGTGTGTGGTGTATCTGCCCTGGGGGGTGGGTAGGGGTGGCTTGCATACAGTATAAGGGAGCAGAAGAGGCCTGCTCTATACTCTTTTGCTCTGGCTGCTTTTGCCAGCTGCTGCGTAAATCTTTTGCCCTGGTGCTGTGCCACCCTACCTTGGAGCCAGCTGATTATGGACTGAAATTATTTGGTCTTCTAACGTATGAGAGACAAAAAGAGAAAAAATAGAAGGAAAGAAAGGAGATCTTTAATGTGGGCACAGAAGGGCTGCCAAAGATGCAAGCACCCTCTGGAAGTTTTTAAGAAAAAAACTGCGGGCTTTATTCAGAATTGACGGGTGGAATTGAAGGGGCAGGTAGAGTGATGTACTGACAGCTGGCTGGAGGAGGGTTGGCATACATGAAAAGTAGGATGTTCAACTTTTAGGTCTAAAACTTATAGCACTCTGAAACACAGGGTGGCACTGTCCAGCACCACGTTAGCTCACACATGAGAAAAGCCTTTCAGAAACCTGCAGAAACAGTGAGCTAAATAAACCTTTCCTTCGTTCATTTTGGGTGTTAGATATTTTGTCCCAGCAATAACAAAAAGGTAACCAGTACAGGTGGATTTTCTATTTAGAGTGTCAGGTAGTAGCCAGAGGTCAGGAGAAAGAAATTGTACTGACCCTAGCAGACCCCAGAAGAGTAATCTGCAAAGTCCAAGATATTGACTAAGGATAGTTAGTTTTATTTGTAGGGTGGCAATCAGAAGTTACAAAAGCAAATAGTTTTTGCTGAAGGTTATGGTACAGTGGGTATCGTGAGTTGAGCATTCATGTATGTAGCAAAATTTTTGTGGCACATTCACAGAAGTTTTAATTTGATGATAAGTCATTATTTAGTTGAGGTCAGTGGCAGAGAACAGAGTGGCTGCAGCTGTATTGCACAGAATGTTTCCAGTGAGGTCTGGATTTCCTTTTCAGTTTTACAGTGAAAGCTTTCAGTTTTTGACCATCCAGTATGGTGCTTCCTGTTGATCTGTCATAAGTTGCTTTTATCATATTGAACTAAGGGCCTTGTATTATACCTGTTTTCTTTGGATTGTTTATCACGAAGGGATATTGCACATTGTTGAAAGTCCTTCCTGCATGTGTTGACATGATTATGGTTTTTGACTTTATTACTGGTGGGGTCCTGCAAGCAAAGGGAAAATAAGGGGACGCACACACTAAGGCACAGCAAAATGGCTGCAGCCTAAGCAAGTAGCTTTTATTGAGATAAAGAACAAAGAAACTGAAATTGCTCATGCTTAGATTATACAACTTGTTAACTTCTTGGCCTTACAGGATCTCATGTTTTTACCTTGGGTTGTGGGTTATGTTTCAAGATCTCAACTTTTTCCCATAATATTGTCAACTGGGTGTGTCCAGAACAAAATAGAATCAATGTGGCCTCTCTAGATCTCCCCCTTCTTTTTTTAGTTTAGACTTTGTTACCATTTTAGAAGCTGGCATTTTAGGTATCAACATTTTGCATCCCTTACCAGATAAGCAGGTAAGGACAGTAAAACAAAAAAATTTATTTTAGCTGGTTGATATCTGGTAACCATCCTGTAAGGAAATTCCATAATTTTGCATTGAGCACTTGGGAGGCGTATATCTGTCTGGTAAGTTCTTGTAAATCATGAAGTTTGCCATTGATGGATTTACTTTCATCAGACAAATTAAAACAGCACACTTGAACAATTTCATTACATCCGTGAGGATGCAATAGAATAATCAGTTGCAGCACGATTATCTAAAATCACTTGTCACTGCTCACTTTGTTCTTTGTTTAATAATGCCAAAGCTATAAAAGTATATTTTAGTTGTTTTTGCCATGAGACAAGCTAGTGCATTAACATTGCAATTGGCCCTGGCTGCCAGGGCAGGCACACCAACCAGAGAAATACCTAAAGCATAAATTTCTGCTTTGGTTAACAGGCTGATAGAAAAGTCCCCGCATAGGTCAGTGAGACTAGTTGTAGACTGCTTGGTGCGAGACAGTGTACATTCTGGAGAAGGCAACAATACAGTAAGGTGACTAAGGCAGCATCTGTGTTCTGAGATAAGTTAGCAAGGATGTAATTGAAGGTCTACTCTTCACATGAGAAAAACCATCCAGCAGGGAGAGGGCCATGTCCATGTCCCTAAATACTGGCTCATAACTGAACAATTCCAAGTATTACTGGAAAGGCAAAGACATTAAGCAGTACAATTTTCAGTAGAAGCACATGAGGCATTTGAAGTTGCTACATATGGAGGGAACACTTTAACAGCATTATCAGGGTTTTCAAGGGTGGGAGGGGCCCAATTTGGAAAGTCAGCATATGTGACAATTTTGCTTAGAATTGTGGAAAAAATGGTGTAATTACTTAGAGAGGCAGGGTCCTTGCATCCTGGAACCAGACAGGACCCGAGGAGGTATTTCATTTCTGTGTTTTCAACAAGACACAAATGAGAGACATTAGATATTTTTGCCAATATTGTATCTCCCAAATATTGTATTCCAGTCTTTCTTGGAGGTTGTGAGACTCTAAAGTCCCCATGGTGGATTGTAAAAGTCATAGCAATAGAATACAAACAAGCATTAAAGAGTTAATTCTTAGTTTGGTAAATATTACCACATGAAGCTTTTTAGCAGTGCATTCCTCTTCAGATACATGGAGCAAGTCTTATGCAGACTGGATCAGCACCTTTCTATCAGGTCACTGGCTGAGCAGTTGTCATCCTGGGTCACTCACTTCCAAGGCAGCTGGGTTTGATTTAGGGAGAGGCGAAACTGTGGAGTCGGGTTGTGCACCGATGGTGCCAACTCAATCCATGCAGGATGAATGCAATAAGCAGGAATCCACACATGGTCTGTTCAGGGTAACACAGAAGCATCCCCTCCTTCCCAGATCAGCAGGAGATCCAGCCTGGGTCTGGGGGTGTTTTGAAAAAATGGAACTAACATAGCCAAAGAGACCTAAAGAGAAACAGAAGAGGATAGCAGAAAGGAGAAGTCAGCCTTGGTAAGTGAGAAAACAGTATCAGTGAGATCAGTTCCAAGGAGTGCAAGTGCACCAGTAAGTCCTCAAGAGATAAGAGAAGAAATAGCATTGATAATAGGAAATACAGTACTACCAAGCAAGAAGGGTAAATGTAACCATTCAACAATAAATACCTTGTTCTGGACGGCAACAAGAGCCCCTGCAGGCAGAGGGAATGAATATAAAAGGAGTCAGGAGAGGGCAGTCCTGTGGGACCCGATCCACCATAACGTGGTGATTGTGTGAGCAGTGCTCCAAAGGGGAGAGTCAGAGATCACATCAGCAGGATCTCGGTTGCCCCTTAAAGCACCAACAGAGGAGCTAACTGCTGCGTGGTCAAAGGAAAATAGGGTCCTACCCAGGTAAGGTGGAGACAGCTGAAGCAGCACCGGGAACACCTGGAAGGCTGCCACGCGGTGTCCAACTGCTCACTGGCCAAAGGTGGCAGCAGCGCCCCGCAGAGCTGCCAGGTGTGCAGGACAGAGGTTGGGGCTCGAGGCGCCGCAAGCAGCAGTTTGGCCATCTTTTCCCTATTCTCCAGTATGAGCATTCCTCCCTCAAGATACCCCAGACAATGACCATGAGTTTCTCACAAAGGTTGTACGAAATTATGCCCAGGAGCCCATGGCCTGCCTTGTTAAGGAGAAAAAGCATCCCTGCCCTGTGTTTCTGCTGCGCCTCAGACAGGGGATTCCCCATGACTCACCAGGGATTTCCCAAAGAAAATGAAGTGCATGGGTTGGCTACTGTGTCCTACCCCAGGAACACAGTGAAGGCAAGTCACCCTCCGCAGCAGAGGTCTCCTCTGTCCATGCACCAGATGTTGGGGTTCTTCAACCAAAGGGAAAATAAAGGGTCACACACACTAAGGGTCAGCAAAATGGCTGCCACCCAGCCAGCCTAAACAAATAGCTTTTATTGAGATAAATAACCAAGAAACTCAAATTGCCCATGCTTAGCTTATACAACTTCTTTGCTTCTTGACCTTAAAGGACCTTGTGTTTTTATCTTGGGGTGGGGACGATGTTTCAAGGCCTGTACTTTTCCCCATAACATTGTGAACTGGATGTGTCTGGGACAAAATGGATTCCGTGTGGTCTCTCTATACATTGCATTTATCGGTTTATGTATTTTAAATCATCCTTGCATCTCTGAGATGATATCTTCTTGATCATGATGTGTGATCTTTATCGTTTTTGTTGTTTTGTCTCATTTCTTTTTTTGTTAATTATTTTGAGACAGGGTCTTGATATGTAGTTGGGGCTGGTGTTAAACCCCCTACTAGCCGAGGCTGGCCTTGCGCTTCCCGCAGTCCTCCTGCCTCAGCCTCCTGAGCTCTGGGGTTATCGATCCTGGTGGACAGTATATGATCTTTTTGATGATGAGCTGCATTCTGTTTTTTAATATCCTGTTTAACTTTTTGTTTGCTTGGTTTAGGTTTTTGTTTTGTGTTCTTTTGTTTCTTGTTTTCAGACAGGGTCTTGCTGTACAGTTCAGACTGACCTTCAGCTTACTAGTAGCCTGTGCTGGCCTTGAATTGGCAGTGATGCTGCTGCACCAGCTTCCCTCGGATTACAGGCTAGGAGTACAAGCGTGCACCATCAAACGCTGGCTCCTAGTTTTGCATGGATGTCCATGAAGATGGGGTGCAGTTGTATTTTTGGTTTGGTCTTTGTCCAGTTTGGGAATCTGGATGATACTTCTGTGCCTGAACTTTGGAGCGCTCTTATCCATTTCAGTGTGTTTTAGAGCATGAGAATCATTGGTGAAGGAGCATCCTTAAAGACTGTAGAATTCAGCCGTGAATTCATCTGGTCCAAGTCTTTTTTTGGTTGATGGATTCTTTGTTGTAGTGTCAATTTCATTGCTTGTTCTTGGGTTAAGCATATTTCTGTCTTCCTGAGTCATGTTTGGTAATTTATATCTGTCTGAGAATATGTCCATTTCTTAAAAATTGGCCAATGTTTGGGAACATAATTTTTCAAAGTAGTTACTGTCCTTTGGATTTTGATACTCTTGTGAGTTTACCTCCTTCATTTCTATGTGAGTGCAAAGTTTTTAGTTTTACCTCATCTGCTGGATGGCAACTGGCCAGCTGCTCAAAGCCACATCATTTGCAGAGGGTTCCCTGTTTCTTCTGTAATGTTTTCCATTTCTTCTGTTGTATGGTGCAATCTGGTTTTTTTCTTTTTTCAGTTCCTTCCTGGTTCCTGGTAAACTTGGTTTCACTTTGACTGCTCGTGTCTGTGTTTGCCATACAGTCTGATGCCCCGTGCTCAGGCTTTGGAATCATGGTGCCTCCAGCTTTGTTCTTGAGCGTGGTATCTATCAGCAGATTCAGTACATGCTATACACATGTGTAACACTTTTCAAGATTGATTTACAGTGGCTGCCCACAGTCTAGTGTGAAAATATGAAAGTTCCCTCTGGAAAGATGCAGGCCACCGCCTAGAGTGCAGTGTAGTGTCCCACATGAGTCCATGTCAGTATGCGTAAGGGTCTGTGATGAGGGTGAACAGACAGCTCACTCCACAGCTGAAGGGTGGGTGCTGGAGTCTGAAGAGTCTGTGTGACCAGCCAGGAGAAGGCTCCAGTGTGAAAGAAGACTGGAGCAGCTCCAAAGCAAACAGAAGCAGCCTTCCTTCCTCATTTCCCTATTGCACCGTAATCAGCCCTGGGACAGGTCTTCCACACCAAGAGCTATGCTGAGGCAGTTTAATTAGGTATTGCATCTCAGATTGACAGAGCCACTCAATCATCACGAAGCCACCTTTTTCCTAACTGCGTACTGTGGCCTGGAGGAATGCAATTGTTAGCACTTGCTGCTCCATCGCTGTGAGTGGGGAGGGCAGACAGTTCCTTAGGGGTAGGCAAGGCCACCCTTTTCTGACCACTAATCACAGAGCAGGTTGCTGAATGTTGCTCTAGGAGCCAGGTGAATGGGTGAGCAGTGGGGCTGGGATCACAGCCTGTTTCCTTCCACCTCCAGAACAGATCTTTGTTCCACTAGCAGTCTGAAGGGTCCTTTGTGGAAGTAAGACATCCTGCATGCATCCTGGATATGAGGATATCTGGGCAACAGTGGTGCCTGGGACAGCAGCTGTGAGTGCCTCATGCCTGGTAGTACCCAAGGCCAGGTGAGCATGTGTTTAAGTTTGTACTGAGTTCCCCTTCCACATATTAGAAGAGGAGCCAGGTCACTAGTATGAGTGACAGGCTTTCAAGGTCAGGTAACCAGACCTGAACTGAATGTGACAGGCCCAGAGCTCAGGGCTCTTCTCACTTTGCGACTTCAACAGAAAGACTCCAGCACAAGAGTTCACAGGGACTTCTGTCCCCAAGGATGTAAGGGAACCTCTGGTGAGGGCTATAATTCAGAAAAAAATGTATGCAGGGCACATCTTTGGGACCAGTGTGAGTGGATGACAACACCAGAACACTAGGCGGACCAGATTGAGGATTGACTGGGGGATAGTGCCTGGGCAGAAGTCATGCTATTCATGAGGACTCTTCTGTTAGGTTTTTTTGATGCAGTTGAAAGACAAAGACATAAGGAAAAATGTTCATTGCAGGCACAGGAGGTTGCTGGGGACTGCAAGGACCCTCAAAAAGGTGGATCTGGGAAACAGCTGGAAAACAGCAGAAAGACAGGGGTCTGATTGCAAGAGTACAGACTGTTTTTGGCACTCTTGAAACAGTAGCCTATGGCCTTAGTTCAAGGGGGCTGTCACAGGACACACATTGTGGGTGTGCAGCTACTGTGCCCCCACCTCTGGCAGACCAGTAGGAAGCGGCTCTGAGCAGGATTGAAAATGAACTAACTGATTGGCTTTCTGTGTTTTATCTGTTGAGTCTTTCCTGGGGCTAGGTAGGCCTCTTGCCTGGCGATGGGAGCTGATTTCTATTGAGTGAACCTCTATGAAACTCCACGGGTCCTGGCTGAGGCCTGCAGTGGCCTGAGATGCCAGAGATGCCTCAAAAGGCAAGATGAGTCCACAGTTGAGGACACCTGCCTGGCTCGGACACCCATGAAGTACATAGAGACTGTGGCTGTCAGCCTCTAGTGCATGCAGTCTCACTCCTACCGTCGTCCTGGAGATGAACCGGCTCTCCTAAACTGGCATAACTGGCTACTTGGAGAATTCTTTGAAGTGACTCCCAAGGTCCTGCTCACTGCCCTTCCCCTGGGTGGGGGTGGGGGGACTTTCCTCAGTATCCCCACTCTTTGTTTGCACCCCTATAGGTAGGGGTGGCCCGGAGAAGCACTTTGTCTTTTTGTGTGTGTGTGTGTGTGTGTGTGTGTGTGTGGTACTCGGGATTGAATTTAGGCTTGCCAGACAGGTGCTTACACCACTGAGCTAAATCTGCAGGCCGAAGCTCTCTCTTTGTCTTGGCCCTCGTTGTAGCCACAGAGTCGAGAACTCTGTGAGAGGGATTTTACCCCCCTGGAGCCTTAAAATCATACGACTCCGTCTCATTTATTCCGGCCTTCGCCACACACTGGTGTGGGAGATTGGGGATCTAGGTCGGACCACGGTAGCCGGCCTCCTGGTGGGGAGACACATCCCTGCCTTTCACTTTGGGATCTGGTCACATGGGCTAGCCAGAACCTCCGTGGATTCCTGGCTGTCGGTCCTTCCATCTCTCCTGCCCGCCCGTCGGGTGCATGGGCATGCACCACCTATCTGTTGTTTGGGCGGTATGATGTATGTATCTCAGCTCTTGGGCCGTGTCCCTCTGTCTGGCCCTGGTTTGCCGGCCTACCTTTATCTATTTACCTGTGTATGTATGTATGTATGTATGTATGCATGGGTGGATGGATGGATGGATGGATGGGTGGATGTTTTGGTACTGGGAATTAAAACTCAGGACCTTGCATTTGCCATGTAAGCCCTTATGCCGCTGCGCCATATCCCTGGCCCTATTTAGTGATTTGTTTATTTATTTATTATTCATTCATGCTTGTGTTCACTTTTTTTTTTTCTTTCTTTTTTGCAATGGACATCAAATTGATGACCTTGTGCTTATCAGGTAAGGGCTTAAGCCACTGAGCTAAATCCCCGGTCCTATATTCAAGTTTTGTCCTGGGAATCAAACTCAGGGCCTCATGCTTGCCAGGCAGGTGCTGTGCTGCAGAGCTATATCCCTGGCCCGTGGCCTTCCTGTCTCTCACTGCCATGGCCTGGCGGGTACCTAGGGGTGTCCCTGGACTTGGCTTTCTGCCACTTATTGATTGATTAATTGATTGGTACTGGGGATTGAACTCACGACCTCGAGTTTGCCAAGCAGGCACTTATGCCGCTGAGCTAAACCTCTGTGGCCCGAGCTAAACCCTCGGCTCTCTGTCTTTTAATACAGTCAGTCACAGGGTCTCTGTGTGTGGTACAGAGTGGCTTGGAATGAATGAATGAATGAATGAATGAATGAGTGAAAGAAAGAAAGAAAGAAAGAAAGAGAATGAGTGAAAGAAAGAAAGAAAAAGAAAACAAAGATCTCGTATACCTCCTGCCTGTCTCAGCAAACCGCCCCCCACACACACACACACACTGCAATGATATCGGGTGTGGAGCACCTTGCCTGGTTTTTGGAGGGATATCTCCACTGCCACGACCTGGTGCTGGGGAATTAGTATTAGTATTAGTACTCGTATTCATATTAGTATTAGTACCAGGGATCATACTCAAGACTTTGGACCTGCCAGTTTGAGAGAACTGATCTTATGACACATGATGAAATGAACAAACGCTTTGAAGGAAAAAAAGGCACTACAGCACCCAGTGCTGACTCTGGCGGGTCATGGTGTGAAATTCAGCAATACTATTATTCTCTGTTCAGAGTGATTTTAATCTGCTTTGGTTTGTTAAATCTCAACATAAATGCAGATATGAATAAATGCATGTATGTTAAGAGTATAGGATTGATAACCACATTACTAAGATTTTATTAGATAGTTGAACAGAATTATTTCCAGTCTCGCTGTTTGAATTCCCATTAATATGTTCCACTCTTGTGTCTTGAACAACTATTTGTAAGAGGACAATATGTAAACATCAACAAGTGATTTATTACTGTTTATTTTTTTCCATTGAAAGTATGTATTATTTCGACCGTTTTCTGTTTCGTTTTGTCTTTCTTTAAATAAAAATTTAAAAATAAACACCCAGAGAAACACAAAGGTGTTAGCGTCTCTTACTTGGAATGTAAAATTATCTTTCACGATACCCATGGCTATTTTTGCAGCCATGAACAGAGGAGTCGCAATCGGACACGTAACAACAATGAAAACATTGAGAGTGAATGAATGAAACTTGAACGGTGACTCTTCTGCGTGTCCCTTTTCATTCTCTGGTACTCTTCACGTGAACAGGGAATGGGGAATGGTGACGGACGGACGAACCAACAGACAGTACCACCGCCGGCATGGAAGGTTTTATGTTGCTCGACCCACACCTCTTGACACAAGTAGGGAATTCATTTACTTATCTGTGGCGAATGGGTCCTGCAAAGTGTGCTCCACCACTGCGGGCGGGGGGGGGGAGGGCTCCCCAGGCCCCCCCTTCCGATGACTGTTTGTGAGAGCCTATGGGAGACTAAGATTTCCTAGATAGCTACATATCACGTGGCTGTCCTTTAAGGGTTTCTGTTGGGTTGCCATTGGTTGTTGTTGTTGTTATTGTAGTGGTTGTTGTTGTTGTTGTTGTTGTTGTTGTTGTTGTTGTTATTGTAGTAGTTGTGCTTCACTTTTGGTTTCTTTTTGGGGGAGTATATTGTTTTGTTTGCACTGGGGATTGAACTCGTGACCTCGTGCTTACCATACAGGCGCTTATGCCACTGACTGGGCTAAATCCCCAGCTGTGCTTCAGTTTTAGGTAAAAGAGAAAGTAGTAGTAATAGTAGTAGTAGTAGTAATAGTGGTAGTAGTAGCAGCAGCAGCAGCAGCAGCAGCAGCATCGTGGCTCTAGGGCAGGTGGGGCTGTGCCACCTCCATCCCCACCCCCTTGGGGACGGGAGGGTGGGGGTCACCAGAGCTCAGAAGAGAAAAACTCACCATAATTTGCAGAGAAAGAACAAACAAACAATTAAAAAAAAAACAGTAAGCAAAACTAAAAACAGAACAACTTGCAGAGCATCCCGAGAGGGGACTGTATGGGTGAGGGGGATTGTGGATGCTCACTCTATCTTGTTAATTGAAAAGAGAAAGAAAAAGGAAAGGAAAACAGTAAAATCAAACCTATTCAAACAGGATATGGTGTTGCAGGCCTAGAATGCCAGCACTGGGAGGGTGGGGTGGGGGTTGGGTGGGGCGGGGCAGGGCGGGGTTAGGGTTAGGGTTAGGGTTAGGGTTAGGGTTAGGGTTAGGGCAGGGTTAGGGTTAGGGTTAGGGCAGGGTTAGGGTTAGGGTTAGGGTTAGGGTTAGGGTTAGGGTTAGGGTTAGGGTTAGGGTTAGGGTTAGGGTTAGGGTTAGGGTTAGGGTTAGGGTTAGGGTTAGGGGTTAGGGTTAGGGTTAGGGTTAGGGTTAGGGTTAGGGTTAGGGTTAGGGTTAGGGTTAGGGTTAGGGTTAGGGTTAGGGTTAGGGTTAGGGTTAGGGTTAGGGTTAGGGTTAGAGGGTTAGGGTTAGGGTTAGGGTTAGGGTTAGGGTTAGGGTTAGGGTTAGGGTTAGGGTTAGGGTTAGGGTTAGGGTTAGGGTTAGGGTTAGGGTTAGGGTTAGGGTTAGGGTTAGGGTTAGGGTTAGGGTTAGGGTTAGGGTTAGGGTTAGGGTTAGGGTTAGGGTTAGGGTTAGGGGTTAGGGTTAGGGTTAGGGTTAGGGTTAGGTTAGGGTTAGGGTTAGG